CTTTTGAGACTACGTCTAAAACCATTATATAATTCTTAATTCCCACATTGTATGCACGTAAAGATTTTCATTTTTCTATAATAACTCACGTGTAGTAAAGTGATTACAGAAAAAAAAAGAAAAATCTAAAAGTAAAAACAGTTTATAAATCAAATTCGTATGAATGGTTAATAAAAACTGAGTATGATTTCACTCTAAGCCTTTGGTTACTATGGAAGCCTCTCAAGACTGTGAGAGTGATCTCCCTTGCTTAGCCTCGATCACGCGAGACGCAACGAGATTTCGTGGTTAGCATATTTAGTACTAATTCTGCGTTGTTGTACTCCCAGAGCAGAAAACTTGAAGTTGCTTTCTGTCTTTTTTATTTATTTATTCAGGGAAAAAAAAACTGTCTTTAAATTGTTTGGCACTATCAGTTACTCAAAATGGATGATCTTCAAGCTGCCGAGGAGGTAAGAATGAATGATAATTATTGTCACACCCAGTTTTGTCAGTTCGTAGATGATGACCTCATCTGATGATGGCGACTCACTTCTCAAGTAAAAGAAGTTTTATTAAATTTAATTTCTTTTAATGTCGACTTTTTCCGGTCTTTTACGCCGATACTTATACTTATTTTAATCGTTATTATACTTGTAATTCCATTCTTTTATGCTGTCGCTAAAAATTTACATCTGTTATTTGTAACATTTGCTTTATAGGAAATTTCTTTACGTTCCGTATTATTGTTTATTTAATTTTTCGAATTTATTTTTAATGTCCGTTACAACCAAAAACTAAATTCATAATTATTAACCGAGGAGATAGAAATCAAAGAAGTGTCGTTTCATTAGAAATTTAATAATCTTACTCCGTTTTTGTTTGTTTTTTGTCTCGATTATTTTATTGAAAGTTTAAAATGTTTTGGTTTTAGCCGTTTTCAATATTCAATATTGACCATTTTTTTGTCATTTACAATTCTTGAATAGGTTTTTCCTTAAATTATTAATAATTGGTTTATGGTTTTGTTTAATTCTGTTTTGATTAGTAGTTGTAGTGACAATCGAAGTGTTGTGTGAAAATTAATATTTGAATTTGTCAGACATTCTCTCCTTAATTTTTGTTTTATTTTATTTCTGAGTTGTTGATATTTTTCGTTATTCAAGCTTTTTTGTTGTCGTTGTTGCCAGGATATCTCCGTTTCTTTCTTTGTTTTTAGTAAGTCGTTTTTTCTTATTTCGAAATGATCTACTTCTTAACATGAAGCCGAATTCGTGTATAGACTTGCTGGCTAATATTTTAATTTACTGTTTTTTGTTAATCATTTAACAGTTAATGTCTTCATCTTCAGTCGTTTGGTAATTTAAACTTAGAAATATGAAAACATGCTCTTAACTTAAACGGTGAAGATATGAAGTGTTGTCAACAAATCCTAAATAAACAAGTACATCTTCGAGTTTAGAGCCAGAAACAATTTTTTTTAGAAATTACATAACTTCTCTTCGATTTTTTTTTTTTATACCTGGTCTCATATTCTGACCATATCCAAGGAAAAACTGATTTAAAATAAAACCTGACATTTTTCGGGAATTAAATAATAATAATAGTTTTTTAAATTGTATTTCAGTTGCTTTAATTTTACTTTTTGTGCAAGACATAAAAGTTAAAACCAAGATATTATTTAATTAGAGAAGCTTTTAAATTTTAATTGCTTTTAAAGACAATATTGTCTGAAGAAAAAAATTTCGACGAAAAATAAGATTTGTTTTCACTTTTTTAAATTGAATAATTTATGAAGTTTTTAAATCTTTTTATTTTCAATGTGATAATTCTTAGGAAATATTGTTATTAAGTAAAAAACTATATTTACTAATCATAAAAATTACAATCTGACAACTCTGAAGATTTTTTAATTTCGATTTGTTTTTGTATGTGTGAATGTGCAGAATTTCTGAAGTATGGATGTACAAACCAATAAATCTACTATTAAAATATTACATGTTTTAAGGGCTGTCCCCACCTACAAAAAAAAAATAACAAAAAAACTCTCAAGCTTTATTGTCTGCTCCACCATACATAACCATAAGCGCGTTCGGCTGTCTATCCACTGTCAATAAATGATTAACACTTCAGAAAAAGAAGACCCCCGTAGTTGAGAAATGAGTGCTACTAAGTCTGTTTTATCCATTTTTACTCTAGTATGATATTTACTACCAACTGTTGGTTATGTATTAATTAATTAAAACATTCTTTTATACGAAAAATAAAACAAAATCGTCAAATAGTGATTTTAATGTTTGTAAACTAATTTGATGTCATTAAAAAAACAAAAAACAACAGTAAACAGGTCATTGTTTTTAGCATTTTCTAGCAATAATGAGTGCATCATCATTTACAGGACGTCACAAATGCCTTGGTAGATATCATACTGTTGTAGCACCAAGAAATATTTGTATGCAACATTTTATGCTATAAGTAAGTAATATTCGTTTCAAATCAGATTAATTTTCGTTAAATTTTAATTTTTTAAAATTTACTAATTTTCATCCAATAACATTTCAGAAATATATATTTTATTTTTGCAGATTTTTAAAACCGAGAATTAACTTTTGTTTACAGATCTGTCAAAAATGGGCATTTTGATTGATTTTACTGGAAAAAAATCGATTCTGATCAATATAATTTCTGTTTGAAATACACCACAGAGTTTTTTGCTTATAGTAAATTTTAAATCCTTTAGCTTTCAATTAAAGCTAAAATGAAAGCTTCAAGAAAACTTTTCATTTTTAAAAAATCATTTTAAACCTTACAAATACCAAATTAGAGTATGTATCTATCTAAAATTAATCTTTTATTTATTTTCATTTTACAAACTGTTAGTCATTGAATTATATATTTCATATTGTTTTATTTATGGCCCAAATGTGTGTTCAGAATATGAGACCAGGTCAAACATTCTAATGGAGGTAGTTCCATATTTAGTATGCAAAAATTGTTTCAGGCACTGAACCTTAAGATTTATTTATTTATTTCACAACAATTGATTGAAAATGATTGATTAAACTCTTAAGATGTTTAATTTACTCTATTTTTAAAAAGAATTTTTATCTTTTGACAATATAATTAAGAGCAGTTGCAATTTGTTGACTAATTTTTTTTTTTTAAATCATGTGTACTACTACTAATTCTCTTCAAACCATCCATATTTTTATTTTTAATAAAAAATCTTTGAAAATCGAATGAGTTTGTGTTGAGAACCATTTTGAGACTGAACTAAACTGAATCATTTTGAATTAGTGTGATGTCATAAGTTAGCAAAAAATTTGAGGATAATAAAAGGTCCTCTTATTATCCTCAAATAAGATGCTATTTTTGCTGGATGAATGGTTTTTGGCCTTCATTTGAAGAATGCCAGAAAATTAAAATGATTGTCTGAAACATAGCAAAAAAAAAATGTTTAAATATTCTATGATGTCTAATATATATATATATATATATATATATATATATATATATATGAGTCCCAATGGACGACCAAGTATGTATATGTGTCTGCATACATCGATGTTTTGCGTTATAATGATGAATGACAAAACGACAAAATTTCCCCCACCACTTCCACAATAACACCAATACACGCAATCTACATAAACCCAAATTTTTTAAAACATTAATCAGTTTGTCTGACGATCACTAAAGCATGAAACCCAGGGTCACAAACTCACATCTATCCAACCAAATATATATATATATATATATATATATATATCCTATTTTATTATATTGGCCCAAGAAGTCAGAGGGTTGTTTACTGTGTTGGCAACTATTATCCATTTATCTCCTGCTTCTGTTCTTTTCTCACCCATTGCCTGTATCTTCTCATTCTCTTCCTTATCCTTCCATTATTCATATCCCATTCATGTTTTAACCTAATACAAGCATGCATTAGTTCCATATGCAAAGAAGAAATAAAGAATGCACAAATATTTTCTGTTTTGCCTCTCCTTTTATATTTCTTTTAATCTATTTCTTCATTAAAAAATTTTAACATGTAATTTTATACCTTTTCTGTTCCTAAATGCCTTTCAATTTTAGACTCCTTTTCTTTTCTTGATATCCAGCTAGCAAACCTCTTTCTTTCACCTCTATCTCTTCCCACTGGGTTCATAGAGCTGTGATTTAGATGTTAATTATAGCTCTCAGCATCCGAGTGAAGGATCCATCGAGTTTAGACTCAAGGGTTTCAGTTAATATTCAAGTACTGACACCATACATTAACACTACTACTACAGTGGCTTGAAAGAATCTCTGCTTAAGGTTATCTGGTAGATCAGATTTCCAGATTACATCTATTTTATTCAAGGTGGCTCAGGCATTAACTATGCAGGTTTCATGTTCTTTTCACTAAAAATTATTTTGATCCCTAGGTATGTAAAAGATTTGACATATTTTATTGATTTACATGAGATAGTTTGTATTGAGCCTTGCTGGTTGAAGCCTATGGATTCAGTTTTAGAGGTACAGAAATAGTTTAATATAATTGGCAGCATTTTCTACATGATGTAGGAGAACTGTGGCATTAGTAATGATGTCTGCAGTGGCAACTAGGTCATCTGCATAGTCAATATCTGTCCACATTTTTACAGAATATTGAGTCTTGGTAATAGATGATGTTTGCCAAGGGAAGTTCTCAATATGTGTCAAGTGTGATAACAAAGATTTGATTGATTTGTTTTATTTTTTATAGTTTATCCACCTTTTCATGTTATTCTAAAGCTAGAAAATATTCTCAGATTGTAAGGATTTTTTTTTCTTTTTTTAAGATAATAATTATTTTTACTGATGCAAGTTCTGCTAGTTAACACATAACTGGCAGGAGAAGGGGTGGATACATACCTTTCCCAAAGGTATTTGTGTGTGTGTGTGTGTGAATATAACGAACACAGCCAGAATTGGAAACAGAGAGCTGAGTTCCAATTCTGAGCCCTTATCTTTTACACCACCAACACATCCAAGCTTAAAACACCTGGTATTCCCAAGCAGTCATCCATTTATGTACTGACCAGGCTTGAAGTTGCTTAACTTCGGTGATCATAGGAGAACCAGTGTTTCAATGCAATATTGCCATAAGCCAATAACAAAAAGAAAAATTGAAGGACATCACCCTAAAGCATTCAACCCTGAATTGGAAATGTAATAGAAGAGGGGTAACATTACTATGTCTGAGGCCATGGCTTTTATCAAAAAGTGTTGAAATAAATCATCTACTTTTTAAGAAATTTGCAGTCAAGGTACACAAGAGAAAATAAAGACTGTCATGAAATAGCACAGACAGTTTAGCCATTCAAGTGGAAAGAAACCATGTGACCTGGCTAATGCTGCAAGTATAAAAGACCATTCATAAAAATATGAATGGGTATTGCAGTTTCCCATGAGACACAAAAAGACTGAATCCAGGGGTATTGATATCAAGAATATCCTTGTAGTCAGTTCTGCATCATATTGACCATGATACAAAGTAGATTGTGGCTGTGAAACTAAGTAGTCAAAGCAGTAATAAAATTATTACTGAATTCATCAGACATTGGATGAAACCTTTTTTAAGCACCTTTTATCTATACTTACTAACAATAGATGAGAATTTAATAATCAGTATTTTCGTGACATGGCCCAAATGTTGAATAGAATTGTTTGGATTAGAGTGGCTGAAATCCTATGAAATATTTGTAAAAATGTTGAAGAAAACCAAAAATGAAAATTGCAACTGATGTGACTTTAGCATGGGTTGTGAGTGTGAAGAATACCTTTCATAATATCAATGGCTTTAGGCCCAACCAACTGATTTTGTAAAAAAAAAAAAAAAAAAACCCACATTCTAATTTTAAATGATTAACTTTCTGTGCTGAAGAGGATTGTGGTTAATAATCTCAATGCAATCCTTTCAGCTACAAAATAGTTTTGGTATGTGAGTCATTTGAAAAACTGAAATGTGCACTTCATCATCAAGTGAAACAAAAACATTCACAGCTTTATAATACAGCAGTATAAAAGAAATAAGTGGGATCAGTGGATGGGTTTGGGTACAGCAATTAGCAAAGAACAGGTTGACTGGTTCTTAACATTCATAAGAGTGTATTATTGCTGCCTGTTGATGTGTCCTGGCAGAGATGGAGATAGATTATGAAGGTGATTGTATGCCCAAGTAAAACTGTCATGTTCCATCTACAGTGCTGACTTGTATGAACACTCAGCAAACAAGTGGGGAGAATAGTGTGCTGTGAGTTAAAAGGTGATGTTAAACCAGATAATGAAGTTGAAGTGGGGCCAAGTTGAGGTGGATACATAAAGGCTCCGGGGTAAATGACCTAAAGTTTAATTTTCCGCAACACTGCTTAAACTTCCTAAATCTGGACAAGTAATCTTTTTAGAGAAGGCCATTACCACTGCCCGCCATGCTGCACTGACCCACCCTAGAGAAAAAGGGTAGTTATGTGAGAATGCTTTTTATTGACTTCAGTTTTGCCTTTAACATGATCATCCTGAGCAGACTGATGACAAAGCTCACACAACTAGGACTATGTCAACCCATCTGTTGTTGGATTCAGTACTTTCTGAGAAATCCTTGACAAACTGTCAAAACAGGCCTACACCTCTCCCTGACAGTTATGCTCACCAGTTCCCCACAGGGATGTGCATTAAACACTCTTCTGTATACTATCTACTTTTGTGATTGCTTCCCCATACATCTTACTAACACCATCATTAAGTTTACAGATGACATTACTGTGGTTGGACTCATTTCAAGAGGTGATGAGGCGGACTACAGGAGTGAAATAGAAAGATTAGCTGCATGGAACTTGGAGAATAACCTTGTTTTAAACATCTTAAAGACAAAGAGAAATGCCACAGCACCTGATTCTTTGACTATCAGTGGGATAAAATTTACGTTACTGGGCATACATATTGGAAAGGATCTGTCCTGGATTAGAAATGCCACTGTGATAGTGAAGAACATGACTATTTGCTGAGGATCCTCAAAAAATAATTTACAAAGAGCTCTGCTTATGACCTTCTACCACTGCTCTATTGAGAGTGTGCTGGCATTACAGCATCACTGTTTGGTATGCCAGCTGCTTGGCAACAGGCAGGAGAGTTGCTTCCTGACCTCCTTGGAGGACATTTCTAATTCTCACTGTCATAGCAGAGCAGAAAACATTGTGAAAGACAGAATGCATCCCAGGTACCACTTGTTTAATCTGTTACTCTCAGAGGAACATTTTAAATTTGTTCTAAGCCAAAGCACTTCAGGAATAGTTTTTATCATTTTAAAATGAATGCTGCTACATTGTGACATTTTTAAACACATTTTAAACATCATTACTTTTCTTCATTTAATTCTGTGTGAGAGGAACGTATATGCTTGAATTTTTTTTTTTTTTTTTTTTTTGAATTAGTGTACATACCTGGGAATGGCTGTCCAATTTAATCATGAATTAGACAGTGACAAGATGATAAAAAGAAATAATTAACTTGCAAACTCTTTAATGAAAAAGAATAAATGTGATAATGCATTTTATAAGTAGATTAGGCAAAGCAACAGAAAGAAAGAAATTTATGATGAATGTTGTCATAGATCAGGATGAATCCTTTTGGTTAGACTTTGAACTTGATATCTCTGAATGGAAGTTAAACAGAACAGTGAAGATTTTGAATTTGAGGAAGCAAAGAAAAAAGAATTAGTAGGATTGAAAATAAAATACCTGAACAATTTCCTGTTTCTGGTCTGCCAAGAATACATATAGAATGGATCTGTACAAAGAATCACAAAGAAAAATAATTAATGCAGGACTAGTAACAAAAGGCTTTTGAGATATTAAAGCAAGCAACATTAGAAGTGACTCCCTTATGTGTTCCAGGAAAGATTTTATGGTTGTCATTGGAAAAATAACAATAATAACTACAAAAAAAAGAGATGTGTTTGTGTTAATGGCTATTAAAACTATTTTCTTGTGAGGAGGCCAGCATGCTTTAATGTTACTTTTGGAAGCTGTCAAATGTATGCATATTTTGATACTGGATAGTTCTATATAGTCAGATGCCACTCATGTATAGTATTTAACTTCTTTCAAAATATGACCAGGTCATTTCTACATTTTATCTATTTTATTTTAGCCATAGATTGCACAGCAATAACTTCATGATGGCTGGATTAAGGGATTTTCATGCCATTGTTATGGACTAGTTTCATAAAGTTTACAAAATTTAAATTTGAATAATCAACCAATTTGAGATATATTAACTTGAATGTCAAAGTCAGGGTGAATATAATACTTGGACATGAAGCATATATTAAAAATCTGGTGCCTATTCCATTGTGATTTAAGTGAAATGTTCAAGATATCACAAGTGTTATAAGTCAGGTAATTTACTGATCAATGAAACTGGCTGGCAACTCTGATCTGAGCTATAAGTGAACTAAGTTCAGTATTGAAGCAGGAAACAATTGACTGCATTAAGCAAGTCAATGAAGATGACATTAGGAAATCTTAGAAACATCTTGGTCATTTCTGTTTTGGGTAATCTTGTAAAAGTATAGATTATTGCTTACAGTGATGCTCCATTTGCAGACATATAGGATAAAGGATTGCAAATAGGATATAGATTATATTTGGTTAGCAATAATATCAAGTACATGTGCCTCTGTTACAGTGCAGTTTGTGTTAGGCAGTCATCAAAAGCACTTTGGCTGTGGGCCCATTAGCAACTTAATAGTAGAACTCTTTGATTTGGAAGATGAGGTGAGAAATGTACGTAAATCTGTCTTACCAATAAATCCTCTCTCCATGCTGCAGTGTATTCTTAGATAAAATTAGATGTTAAATAAGAGCAAATTAACAGAAATATCCTGGCTATCAACAGTTCTGGAATCTTTGGTCAGTCAGTGTTACACAATTTTTGTATTTCACATAAAGATGGATTTTCTCAGTCATAACACATTTTAAGGAAGTGAAAAAAATATCAGTAAAACTATTTGTGTTGATGATCTGTGCTTTATTTCTTTTAGTTTTTTCTTTTTTGTTATTTTTTTTAAAGTTAATTACATCTTTTATGAGTTTAATATATTGACTTGTAAATACACATGTAAAGTAATGATGTATCCAGTATTTGGCCCACTCTCTTGCTATTTCTATTGTTGTTGTTTGCTTACCTGACAATGGAATATCTGTCCTGGGTATGACGATAAACTACATCTGTGTCCTGGGTAAGGTCTCTGATCAGGAGGTTTTGAAGAGCGTGGAACCACCTCTTAATTGCTGATGTTCCCGGGTTCATCCTGACCCGGGGTGGTAGCATCTGTTAGGGTCCCAGCTATGGGCAAATAGTTAACACCCAAACTGGGGTCAAAACACTATGAAAGTGTAAAAATAGATTTTATACATACCAGAAATACATTTTTTTTTTTTTTAAATTATTAACAGCAATACATTTTTAGAAAAAAATATATTACCCACTATAGTTTATTTTGAAAGAAAATATACCAGCAATAAAAAAAAAAAAAAAAAATTGTCGGCATTAAATAACCCATTGAGGTTGATATGCCATAAACCAAACCAAACCAATGGAACATATTTTTATCTCTTTGTATTTTCTACTGAATAACTAAATTCAGACACAAAATTTTTAAGATTCTTTAATCATTACTAAATTCATCTTAGTTTTGGTAGAATACTACAAGTATGGAGCATTCAATGATGAGCAATACAGAAGTAATGAACTTTGAGATGAGCTTGCTAACCCTAACCATAATAGGAGATGCCTTTCGAATTCTCTTTATATATTGTTGTTTGCTTTTAGAAAAAAATATCTGTTTATAGGTTTTAGATAAAATAATTTCCTTTAAAAAACACTGATATTTACTGAACTAACAATAATAGAGGCTACAGGAAATAAGAATAACCTATCAAATTTAACAAAACTCTAGATGATGATCTCTTAGTTTAATCAATAGCTTGTATTTGAACACTAATGATTTTGTTTTTTTTTGTTTTTTTTTAATCAATTCATCCCAAGCAGGATATTAATGCCACTAAGATGCAAGACTGGGAGTGAAAGAGAATGAAAAG